CGAACCGAAAACATCAATATAAATATAATATATAATATATAATATATAATATAATATAATATATATTTTAATAAAATATATATTTTATAATATATAATATAATATATATTTTAATAAAATATATATTTTATAATATATAATATATAATATAATATATATTTTATAAATTTTAATATAATATACGGTTCGGTTCGGTTAACCGGGGTAAAAAAATCTTAAAAACCGTAACCGAACCGAACTGAGCAAATACTTCATTTGAGGTATTTGTAACCGAACCGAGTCCCTCGGTTAACCGAAAATTCGGTTTGATTTCGATTCGGATCTACGATTCAGCGGTTCGGCTCGAATTTTTTGCCCAGCCCTAGGTGTACCCATTCTTGGGGTCACAAATACTACTGCCCAGGACATTGTCACTATGGTTCATCCACCGAGCACCTTTCTTACTGCCAAGGAGGAGTGGCTCGACAGTTATTTTGCTCTATATTGTCTTCCTGTTGATTGGCGTTCTGTTGTTATGTGATTGTTAACAACGATTGCGGATATGATGAGTTACGTAATTTGAATAGTTTGGACGTTAAACATGCAATCAAAACTCAACAATGGCCCCGGTCCGAGGTGAACCGAGGTGAAAAGCTACAGTGAGCTGTTACGTGTTTCATGTTAAAAATTTGGTTCGGGGATCCCCGTACAAGTATCAGATGCTTGCTATTTATAGTAACTTTTTTGGGATACATATCGGGATTTGTGCGATGCCTTTCGTAAAGCTACTTTTTGGTGGGCGACATTGTCAGCGGGTCCCACTTGAATGATGAAAGATCTCGTGGTTCGTGAAAATGGCGTGTGGGCGCCTTGTCACCTGTTTAGGAAGTGGTGACCTCGGTTCGTGTTGTCTTCAGTTTGCAGAGACTTCGGTTTGGGATGACCTCGGCATCAGGGTCACCTCGGTTTTCTATGGTTTGGTCGGTTCGGCATGCGAACCGGAATTATTGTTGATCATATCGGTGTTGGGAATAGTCCGTCTAAAACATGGTTTTGAGGCTAATAACTTCGAATTACCGAATCGGACGATAACAGAGAGGCCCCCAGTATCGGCGGGCATTGTTTATTGTGTTTTTGTCGTTGTTTTGGTGTGTTTTGTGTGTTTTATTTTATTAGTTTTAGGCTCGTTTTAGTGTCGACCGGTCCATTTTATCGTATTTTGTGCATTTTTATTCTCGTTTTGTGTTTTTGTAGTTCGGCGTACTTTTCTTGTCTTTTTGGTGTTGTTTAGGTCCACATTATTCGATCTTGGGAAGACGAGCCATTTCCGAGACATTTCCGAGCCGTCCGAACCATATCCGAGCCACGCGAGCCGTTTCCAAGCATATATATTAGTTACGCGGCAATATCGATTTGAGCATTCCAAGATGAGGAGAAAAAGATTTGGGAAGCGTGGGTCAAAGTTTCGAGTCAATCGGATAACCGGGTGAAAAGTTAGAGCAAATCGAGTGATAAGGGATCACCGGCACACGCGGCGGGCTCGCGGAAAGCATGGCGAGCTCGAGAGTGCCCAACATCAGCAGCCAGCGTGCTCGCGGAACCTACGGCGAGCTCGAGAGTGTCATGCCCAAGCCTCCTACCTCACTCGCGACCACGCGGAACCGACGGCGAGCTCGAGAGTGCATGACGCATGCTCGCCCAGCGACTCGCGTGCTCGCAATTTCCTCGGCGTGCTCGAGAGTGCC